AAAGAACATGATTGCGATTATTCTTATTAATGAAGATATAGTATACATTAAAATTTCTATTTTTGAGATAATTACTGAGAAATAATAATGAGCTTACTCATGAAGTATTAATATTGGCCTAATTTAATAATACTGTAGTATATTAGGGTCAATTATTATATTTGCAATAAACACACTAAAAATAATACAAAATTTCATATGAAAAATTCTTATTTTCATAAGGGATTTATAAAGCATGTTTAATCGCTTGCCAATATTTCATCATGAATTGAAAAAAACGGGTTGTCCATCCCTATTCATAATACATTATACAATTTGTTGACTTTGAAGCAGAATTAGTGCAAACCCTGGTTATATTTCAAAGCTGAAATCTATAATCTAAATGTGAAAAGTACGCTGAGAAAATTAAGACATTTGTTGGCATAATCTGCTCCCCACAGTAAATTAATTTCTGTAAACTTCAATACAAATGACTTCAAAATCCTTGGACTTGCTCTTTCCCATGCAAGTGAGCTCTGCTACAGGCTATATGCCCAGCTGTGCTAAGTTTACAAACACAATTAAATATGTTAGAGGTAAGGTAAGAATGCACAAAAGCCGCAGGTGTATCGAAACCGCACACATAATCAAAAATCAAAACACAGGTGAGTAACTATTGTGTAGACCAGTTTTACCCCCAAAAAAATGAAAATAGTTCACTTAAATGTAGGACTGCTATTTAAATTAAAAGAACCTTACACTTATCTAAATTTGAAATTATCTTTAATGAAAATTAAACCACTGCTCGTTCATTAGTGCCTCAAAATATAATCACAATCAAGAACACAAATGTAAACATAAATAAGGTTTTATTCAAGTTTTATAACTGTAAACTTTAAACAGGTTACTGACTGCTACATAGTTAATAGCTAATATATGGTATAATAATAATTTACACTTTTTCATCAGTGGCACATTTCTTAATGGAAGGTGCATCCATATTTGGTATACAGTAAATATTGCAGATGAGACCAATATTCTGAATAAAAGACCATGTGGTAACGATGTTACATCAAGATACATTATTTAATTTGATTTTGAATTTATTTAGACAATTGAGGGTAGGGAAGTAAAAAAACAAGGCATCTGTTGTAGGGAGAAGTCTGCACAAGAGATTGTGTTGGCACAAGAGAGGTATCTGCACATAAAAGAGAAATCTAAGACATCATAATGATGCAATATGTTGATAGATTCATCTGAGCCAATAATAATCACTTAAAGTGTAGGTGACGTGAAATTACTTCTCATGTAACATACTTAGAGAAGTCACCGGAGGCAGGTAAATGCCTGCTGGCTACAAGTTTTGTTTTCTAAACACAGAACCTCGCTACCGGGGAGTAATTCAGTCTGCCTTATAACAATGGGTATGCCTATCATTAAGTAACTTTGTATTTCAAAAATTACAGCCTGTACTTTCTTTTATGTTGGATTCTTTGGCAATGTTTTGAAATTATAATTATATTTTTTTCATAAAATTTAATCATGAGTTATGGCAAATTAAAAGAATTACTGAATCACTTATGGTTTGTAGCTTTTTAGGTTTTTGAATATATTAAGTAAAACATGAATGTCAGAATTAGCATTAGCTCCATCAGCTGTTTATTATAAATTGATAATTGATTGGCTCTCTTCTGTTCAGTTGCCGCCTTAATTTTGTTACGGTTTGGTGTTGCATAACCATATGTTTTACCTTGTGAACTTTTATTATGTTTTAAAGTTTCATTATTGTATGTTTATTCATTTTTAAAATTTGCAAGATTCGTTGTTTAAAGTTAGTCAATGAACGTCGCAACCTTAACAGATCCTACAGTATCAGTGGCGAATTCAGAAATTAAAAATAGAGGAGGCGGGGTGTAAGGAATCAACTGCTTAAGAGGAAGGTTTCAGACCACATCTGCCCACCATGGTTTAAGGCTGAGGTACAAAATTGTGTGGTTATGGCATCTTCGGATGGCCAGAAATGCCACTGTTAAACTTAATTTGAATATAGTTTTTTTTTTCCCATTGTTTATAAATTTTTAAAAATTTAGGGGAAGGGAGGGAGGGCAGACTGGGACCTTTTAAATCTGCCCCTTAGTACACCAGTTGAATAATATGGAATCATAGACATCCAATATTTCAGCAAGGTCCACATGCTCCGACGACACATAAGTTTTGAAATTATACTGTACACTACTAAAGGTCATTCTAAAGTTTGAATGTTAGCTTTTAAAAATTGAGTCTGTTTTTCCAAACCTAATCACAAACACTCTATAATGACTTCAAGTCTTTTAAATATATAGAAAAAAAAAATCAATTTATAGAATTAATTTGTCTGGCTCCACTCCAATAGAGCTACTACTGCCTTAATGTCAATGCTCAATCATTGTTTTCTATCACAACAATTTGTACCATTCCCTAAGTTAACAAAGATCGTTTGTTTGTATGCATTACTTCTCATCAGCACCCTCAAGAATAACATTCATAGCTGCTTATTTTTTTTTTAACTTTCACAAGGCAAGAACACCCAAAGGTCCTCCGGGAATCCAAACATCCTTATAAACAATATGAGTATTCATATATATCTAGGTCTAGCATAGACCTAGATACACGTGAGGTTTACATATTGTGGACGTCTTCTTAACTTATATCCTTGTTTTCAATCACAACAAGTTAACAAAGGTCCTCAGTAAATGGTAGATTGCATTAATAAACACTAAATTTGTTTGTTTGTATGTATTACTACCCATCGACCTCAACAATAACATATCAATGAAGAGCAGGAAAGGTTATTTACTCCACAGTGATTAGTTAAATCAACAAAGTATCAGTGGCATGATGGGAAGGATGCCGTTGCCATGCAACTGCAGTTTCAGCAGAAGATTCATTGGGCTGATGATAGTTTGTGTTACAACAAACCAATAAAAGGGGCAGAGGGTTAGCTATTCCAACCTGTAATACGAAAAATCAACTTTATCCCACTACTACCTATTAATCATCTTATCGATCAATCTTATAAATATTTGTATAGAGGCTTTCAGTTAAATCAATGTTTAGATGATGTATACATATATACTCTCTTTATTTTATATCGGACAAAAAATGTACTATTAGGACAAAAAATGTCTCATTCTTCTGCATCTGTATTTTTGTTTTACAATCTCCTTTTTAATATTTTAACAAGGAATGATCATCCACCATAAATTCAAACATCCTCCTAATCAATGAATAGCCACTTAAATCTAGGCCTGTCATGGACAGGACAATTTATTTCTTGTTACAATATCATTGCAAAAAAATTTTAACCCCAAACCTCATCTAAAATACTGCTTTTGGCTGCTTAAAAGAATGGGATAATGCACTGAAATATTCTGTGTTAAGTGAGTCTTTGTTTATACCATGTTTAGCGAAATCGCCGCCCGTCAATAATGATGATTTTAATTTTGGCCAATTAGTGCACCTGCTGCCACAAAAAATTGAAATTTTAGGAAAAAATTAATGTTTTTCTTTATTTTTATTTTTATTACGCTTGCCGCTGCCTTGAAATCTCAAAAAATGTTGATATAGATGATGTGTATATTTCTTCCTATTTATATAAATTTAAAGTATTTATCCATTCCCATAACATTACACTGTTTAGATTCAACAATAAAATTTCATTTTAATTTTTCCCTCTGGATGTTTTTGGCAAAATCACTTGCTAAATAAGAAAACAAAATTATAATTTTATTTTTGGTTCCCGTCATGCTCTGACAATCTTTAAAAAAATGAGTTCGCGAAACAAGGTATAAAAAAAGTCTTGTCTTTTTGGGCCTTCAAAATTATTATTCACAAAAAAAATAAATGTATAAACATGTTTATATGTCATTTATTCAAATTGGAGTCAAATCTATTTCATGAATATGAAAGACAAGCTTTTTTTTCCTTGAGCCTCTTGAAAATCCCCTGCAAGTGCCTTACCGCTGTCCTTTGACACTTGTACAACAAAAGAAAAATAAATATTCTCTCGGGATTTAACGGATAATTGCTACCATAATGGTCACATTCACACCATCTTAACTTAATTCAATTTTGCGATGCAAACTTTGCTCCTATTACGATTTGAACCGACGACTCATCTCGGAAACGGAAGGCAACTCAATCACAGTTTTTGCAATTCTGGCTTATAGACTTGAAGCCAATGAACTGCCAGATAAGTTAAAAAAGAAAACGGCAACAAATTCAATCGACCCAAGCTTTCTTTCTCATCATAAAAATCATACTGACAATAGCTTTGCCAAACTGTTTATCTTCTTCTCCAAAATACGCCTACAGCAAACTTAGCTAACAAAGTAAATTATAGATTATGATGAATGGTTTAAACTTGCCTATCTCTGATAGATATGAAATTGATGAGGCTAGCACCCCAGGCTAAAATGTTAACCCGACACGTTGACGTTTGCCTGTGCCTCAATTAGGAAAGCTAACGATATCATATTAGCAATTTTATTTCTGTAATGAAAGTACTGGTACTGATAAAATTATGCCAAAAATAATGTACTGAATCTCACTCAACATCTCTGTTAAATGTCAAAATCTAAAGAATATAAAACCTGTCCATCTACGACACATTAACTTTTGAAAAGTAGAATTTTACTAGTTATATTATTATTGAAGATAAATAGGTATAATTTTCTTTCAGATAGTAAGTACTCTAGAGCATAATTATTTAATATTTGTATATATCGGATGCAACTTCCAATCTAAATTGGGATGAATTTTTTTTACTCAAATTTTTCAAAGAAATTCAAATTTTCATTTATTTTCACATTCAAATGCATATATAAATACTCAATTAATTTGTTTCTATATACATTTATGATACCTAGATAATAAAACAAATTATATATTCAAGAGGTTAACCTGTATATTATAATTATATAACAGATTAAAATAAAGCAAAACAAATAGAATAGTTTGATGAACAAATAATACTATTTTACCAGATTTTGGAATGATCCCCTTCCGCCGTCGTAGTGTTTTCTGTAACACTTCTCTCATTGTTATATTCGCATTATCTAGGGGTATTTTTGAAGCTCCATCAGATGATGTACTATAGTATCAAGAGAAAAAAAAAACCACTCGTATCAACATTGATTAATAAACTATCTTTCGAAGGTTTCACTTTGTAAAATGGGTTTTAATGCACTAAATTCCTGCAGCTGTTAACGAAGCGAGGAGCATAAAACATTACGCGTGAGCTTTCTACACCTTGTGTTAGCCAGGCGCCAACCTGCTTCTGTGTGCGTGGGGCTGCACGTCCAAAGAGTTACAGCCACGTTTAATGACACAGTCAGAAAAATCATCCTTATTACCATTATTGACATATTTCAAATTTACTGGGAATTATCAAGTATTTGAATACTATTATACTCCTTTGTTTTCAATATCATGATCATTAATCACCTTTTATCTCATCATTATCATGTAAATAGGGCCTAATAAGCTAGGTCAGTTTTAATGTTATCATTGTTACTACAGTACCATTCTCATTATCTGTATTATCACAATCATTATAAATTTTGATCATATAATAATAATATAGGAATTTGTACTACAAACTCTCATCATCCTATCCTGTAAAAAGTTTTATTTTGTGGTTTTTGTCTGCTAAATTAAAACAATATATATAATTTAATCAAACTGGTATGAGTGACAGATATGTCAAGTCATGAGGATGCCTCAAAATTATTTTTTATTAATTTAGCTACGTACATGTTTACGACAACTTGGTCAGTCTTTTGACTTGGCTTCACAGACTTTGGATTCAACTCCACTAGGGCAAGTGTTGGGAAACCAAATCGGGCTATTAGTTCTCGATTGTCCAAAGCGGGAAAATCAGTATCTACTTCACCATCCTCCTCTGCTATCATAAGGCAATAAGACTCCACATTCTCACTAAATTGAAAAGAACAGTAAAGAGGTTCATACAAAAAATGATGATACTATATAATCCCTAAAATAAAAATACATTAAAAATAACAAAGAACAATCTATGAGTTGTAAACATACTATGAAGCAATATAATTTATTAAATCACAAATAATTCAAACACTCCTGTGTTCTTCCTCAGTGTGAGGACAACCGAAAAAAAAATACAAAGTTAATTAAGTATAAGGAAATAGTATTGATTACAAATTAAAATAACAATAGAACCTAATTAAAGGTGGCATATAAAGATACTTAATTTGGAATAAACAATGTAAATAAAAGCTAAATGAAGGCCAGGGATCCAAGAAGAAAATTAAACATACATAAATGAATACACTAGTCTGATAAATTATCTAAGTCTTTATTTAAACCGTCGATATAAGAATTGGTTCTAAGAATCCATTTCAATTCTTCTTTGCATCTAGGCGAGAGGGAGGAAAAGTTATTAGCGATCAAAATAAATCTAATGTCATTAATGCCATA